CGCCTTGAGTCTTAGTGTCTAGTTCATGATTTATGACGCTGAATGTGCACAAACAAGGAGAAATTCGGGAAGAAAGCCAATTAGATCCCTGGGTGATTCTTAAAACCTACTGCTCCTTTTGGTTCTGACTAGTGCGTTAGCCAAAGTAAGCTGATGCTACGGTTGATAGAAATACCACAAACGCCAAAAGAGACAAAAATACACAACAGAACTAGAACAGAATTAACTTTAGTAGTGTTTAATTTAATTTCTCTTGATAGGAATGTAGACAGAATGCTTCCGAATCGTATAGGAAAACATTGAAAATGTTTTAATTCAGCGACATCCAGGGAAGGCCAAAAGGAATCAATTTATTCGTCCTATTAACAAGACAGATCAAGTGCTACCAACATTCATATAGAGAACTGTAGTTTCTCCGTGCAACCATATACAGTCTGTACATGTATAAGAATATTTTCCAGTACTGGAGTATACTAACTCTTATAAGGCCATTCCGATTCATTTCTATGTTCAGCGTTCCCTGACAGATTTGTTTTAGGTTTTAAAATTAGAAACAAACACACACTAATACTGAAGAAATATAAATGTTTGATATACATTTCAATCTTTTGAATTTTTATTTTCATTAGCGATTTGTTTTCTTTAATTACATTGCAAAGAACAAATGGTGAGGCAAAACTCTACAATTAATCTTATAATGCTGTTTCTTCCTTTAGTTTGTTTGTTTTCTTTTTTAATGTAGAAAGAGGTGTGTTTGATTTTAGGATGAACGCTAATCGTATATAAACTTGGAATGGTCTTATGTATATTTGTATTTGTCTGCCATTCTTTATCCTCAAGACAGAATACTGTACATCATTCAAAAAATAAAGCTTTTCATAAGTCTTAGTATTAGTAATACTACTAAAATTTTAGTATTTTTTATATTTGCAAAATTAAATTTCAATTAAAGAGAAGATTGTAATGAAAATTAATGTAGGAAACAAATTTTCCCTCCTGCACAAATATGTTCGTTTAAGAACTATGTTTTGACATTATTTCAATATGCGCTTTATCAGCAATACAATGTTTAACGTGCTTTAATGTGTTGTGAACCAAAGAGGAAGTGGAAATTAATCAAACTATTCAAAAAGGTAAAACCAATGAAAACACTGATGTTCCCGTAACAGCTCATGGTTATATAAGATTTAAGTGTGAAACAAAATTAAAACTTAATGATCAAGGTGTAGAGAAAGAGAAAGTCTTGTCACGAGAAATACACCTATGATAAGCTATGGCAGCTTAGAAGTTATGGCAATTATTTAAGTTCTACCAAAGCTGGTAACACTTGGTTTAAGTTGCCTTACAAAACCTTATGTTTGGTACGGAAATTCGTGACAATATCACTTATGTTGAAATAATTTTCATGCAAAACTCCTGACAAAAGTCTTTTACTTGAAATGTTTAACCAAAACACTGACCACGTGACCTTGAGATAGTCAGTATGACACCTTTGACGTAATTTGTTTCCTTAATACAGAGAGGGATCATTAGTCATGGTTATTTCTACTAATCAGATAGAATTAAGCACGACATATGAATTTATCTGTCTTACATAGTCATATAAGCTAGAGACAGCCGATAGATGCATCAGGTATTTAACACTGTCATACAATGGACATCGATTTGAACGTTTAGAATCTCACAGGACTAGAGTAATACAAAATGTCATTCCGCGATGAATGAGTCTAGCTATGTGATTGGGTGCTAAATTGACTGGCGAATTTCTACTTAACAAAGAACTGGACAGGAAAAAAAGGACAATATTATTGCACTGCATAAAGTTTTGCTTTATTTCTTTAAAACGTTGCTTCATACTTTAGTTTAAAGCAATCCATTGTCAGGTCACATGGAACCCTGAGACGCCATTGAAATTCTTCATTCCGTACCAGATCATTACTTCTACACAAATTTCTACATTAAAAACTACTATCTGAATCTTACAGTCTTTTTGTTGTGTAATTGGTTCCAAAAATAAGTAATTTAGATCTTCATTATCGTCGGTCACGCTTTTTAACATGGAAGCCAGGAACTATCCATTAGCATGGGTGTTTCTAGACAATGGGAAATCAATTAGCTGTATACACGAACAGTAAGAGGAGGCTTCTTCATGAAATAGATTCCTTGATCTAATTTTAAAGTCAAAACGAAACGACTTCACATGGAATTTTATGAACTATAAAGCTAGACAGCAAATAAAGCTAGACAAATAATTTAAAAACTATACTACATATAGGTTAGCAGCTACAGCTGTAGACACCAACACAGCTAGACAAACTGTCATATCAAATAATCTTGGGAGTTAGACAGATGCATGAACTAAGCAAGTAACTATTCTTGGCTTACAGTTGGAGATAAGTTTCCTTTGACGATAAAACAGGGCAGACAACAACGATATGTAACCATAAAGCTAGACATACGTAATGTAGTTAAATAGTGTAAAATCAAAGATTTGACAAATAACCATACAACTAGGCAGATAGCAATATATATTGCAATAGATCTATTAAGATTGACAAATAACCATACAACTAGGCAGATAACAATATATATTGTACTACTGCAGTCGCCCGTATTTGAAAAAAAATATATATATTTGCACCATTAGGGAGAAGCTGTGAAATTGTAGCCTTCTACATTATTTGCAGCTAATAAAAGTGCAGTCTACTAATATACCATGTTTATCAAACCATACTATATTAGTCTATGTGTGTACCACGTCTTAAGTGAAGTCAAACCCAAACAGTAATTTCATAGAAATTTCTACTTTTTCGTGCCAGCACCTACTGAGACACGGACCACGGTTAATACGGTCTCATCCGAAAGAAAACTCCTTACTAGAGCAACGCTATAACCACTGCGCCATGTGGACGACAGTAACTTCTGTTATTCCCGACATCGGTTATTCTTGTTTATTCAGTTTGGAGTCCATCCACGACTTCCAATTTTCATGAGTAAAGCAACATTCTGCATACAATTGCTTGGAGACGGAAAATACAATGTATGCAATTAAATGAAGGTCCCGAAACTCCTGGATATTTCTCGGTCGTAAAAGAAAGCTGGTTTGCATTATTTGATTTCTTTCTTTTTTTATTTTGGTTAATTTCATTCACGTAAGTGTTTCAGTAGAAAGGAGGAAAAGTCCACCCCTATACCCCAAAATAAATAGAAGTGGAAAACAAAACATATCATATTTGGGAATTTGCAGCCAACGTGAAGCGATTCCTTACATACTTGTAGCAATGTTGTTGAATTGCAACTGTCGGCGTGGTTCTTTCTGTTTAAATATCCCCGTATTGATCCAACCCTCTTCTATCTTCTAATTTTAATGACTGCTTGATGGAATAATTACTCAATTACATAATGCGTAGTCATAGAATGTCACTCAAGTGTCTCGTATGAAACGGAGTATTAATTTCCGATAAACTCTGAAGTCTATACAGAATGCACTAAGGCCATACCAATTTCTAATATAGTTCGTCGGATTCGCCGCTTCTATTTTTAACAAATCCAAATTATAATATTAAAAAAATAAATTTCGCGCGCGCGTCCAAAAATATCCGAATACATTTTTTTTCTCGACTTTTTACACAAAAACGCATAAGAGACTTGGAAATTTGTATGACAGAAGCGCGGGATTTACTTAGTTTGTTTGTACTTTGTAGCAGTCTGTGAAGTTTTGCAAGATGCCTGTGTAACTGTTCGTATGTACCAGGGGTGAGCAATTAGCATATCCAAACAACCGAGGCTACCATTTTTGGGGATCGGGCTAACTGTTTTCTGCAAGGAGGTAGCCCGTCTGGCTAGTAAAAAACATAACTACACACGCAATACAACATGACAAGAACAATCGGTATTTTCAATTGTATTTGTCATAAAATTCCCAACCAGTTAAAATTTTCCAGACAACATGCTCCTATTGTCAATAAATCTCCATAATCTTATCTGTTTTGTAGTTCTATCTGACTTATTTACTTCCAAAAACGATCGTTTTTTTTCTAATCCGAATGTCCTCTATTTCTCAATTTATGGTAAATACCAATCTCTCACCAAAGGGCGAGCTCCGGGTGTTGGAGCGGAGCGTAAAAACGCCCTCTGGTGAGAGATTGGGTAAATACATGCAGATATCTCATTAGATTATTTACGATTATCCAATGAACTGAAAGGTAAGTGTTTTGTGACTCACATAAAATATATTTCCAGTGTATTAAATGATTTAAGATGAAAACAAAATGAATTTGATTTTATTCTAAATGAGCTAGTGCAATGATCAAGAAAAAGGGAAGATAATTCATTTAAATTAATTTTTTTTCATAATAATTTACTATGCATGACTAATATTGATAGTGAGAACTTTAAACTTTAAAAAGAATTACCTACACCCTGACTTTTTCAGCAATTAATTTCTTCTCCAGATTAGTATTTATTTTAATTTTTGCCCCTCTGTTTGGGTTAGTAGCTTTTTACTAGGGGCTATTAACTTGAAAGCTGCCACTAGCCTGTGGGAAAGTACTTGATTTTTTCCCAGTTGCACACCCCTGTGTACTATAGAAGAACTTAGAAATTTTTGCCACTAATATCAATTATATTCGCTCGCCTCATAATTTTGAAAACTGAAATAAAAAAATAAATATTTATAAAATATTTTCGCTCGCTCGCCTCTCTTTTTATTTTTGAAAATCCGAAGAACTATGTTACAAATTGGTGTGGCCTAAAGGTTCCCTTTTTGTATTAAGTGTAATTGTAGTTTTCGCGTGCCTATGGGGTAAGCATATTGCAGAAGATTAGATTGTTAGGGTTCAAGATGAAAAAAATCAAAGGAGGAATACAGAAAAAGATTTGTCCCCGATTGCCTTAAGCTGGGAAATGAAGATGCAAAATGTAGTACAAATTCTTTTTGGTAATCGTATACAAGAAGAAAGTGAACCAATGTAATGGATGAAATATGATTGTATAAAATTAGTCAAATTTAAATTTGGCTTCTTGGGTGTGCTGCTCATCAGGGGTGAATTGAAGTCATCAGCCTTTCGTTTCCCCCGTAAATGGCGTCTTTTCCTCAGGGATCTGAATCTTAACAGTCGGCACGGCATCTCTTTCCAACTCTTTTCGCTGAACGGGGACTCCCATAGACTCCATTATTCTGTACTTGGCGGGGTAAGAGTCCGGCGAGAAATGTACAGAACATAGCACCGAAGCTGAAGTTGGACCTGTCCAGTTCTTCCTTGAATTCTTCACATACGCCGTCCACTGACGAAGAATTGCAGGTCTATCAAAAGGAAACTGGTGTAAACTTATACCATCGGCTTTTTTCCTACTGCATCTTCCAGCTACACACATCCTCCGACTGACACTGCCACTGTCCATGATTGCGGCTTATACAGCCTAAACTACACAGTTAAATACTACACACTACATCTACGGAAAGTCCTAAACACACTACCATCCAAAATATTTACACAAAACACTTGAAAATACACGAAAATACGATTAAAAAACACAAGACACGCACACTGTTCACTACAGTTTTCAAAATGGCCGTCCTCGTTGTGACGTCACGAGCATTTTTTCCGGAAAAAACCGCGCGTTTCAGAAAACGACTCAGGTAAGAAATCGGATTAAAACGGAATATCTTGAGTAATACACGACCGATTTCGGTGCAATTTTCGGTGAAGGTTTATTTTTATCAAATCTTTTAAATTCTTTAATTTCAGCAGGCATTGCATATGATCTTTAATAAATTGCAAGACTTAGGTCTTGGCTGATATTTTCAATGTAAATTTACTCAGCAAGTTTAAATGCTAGAATCTCCTGCCATTTTATTTTGTTTAAAATGCTATAGTAACATTAAAGTATTATATACAGGAATTATACTATATATATATATATATATATATATATATATATATATATATATATATATATATACAGAAAGCACAGAGAAATTCACTTTTATAAGGATACTCACTTCCGCCCCAGCCCGGGGTTGAACTCTCGACCTACGGAGTCCGTCTCCTAGCAGTACAGGAACAGCGCGTTAGACCGCTCGGCTATCTAGGCAAGTCAAAAAACTTGCTTTCGATGCCTATGGAATTCTCACAATGCTGCCCTACACTACATGGTCATTGAGAACAGTTATTTGGACATTAGTTTTTAGAGGATCGTTACCAATACATGTTGTGATGAAATTAATTTTTTATTTATAAAGCACAATTTTACAACAACTCTTAAACTAATATAACTGCCCTAAGTGAAGAAATATTAATACAGAAAGCACAGAGAAATTCACTTTTATATGGATGCCCACTTCTGCCCCAGCCCGGGGTTGAACTCTCGACCTTCGGAATCTGTCTCCTAGCAGTACAGGAACAGTATATATATATATATATATATATATCACTGTGTACGAAGAAAGGTTTCGCGAGAGAGAGAGAGAGAGAGATTAGAGGAGAGATAAAAGACGGGGAAATGTAGAAAGGAGAGTGGGAGAGAGAGTCGATAGGGGGTAGTGAGGAGAGTGTGGTAGAGATGTGAGTCGAACAAAAAGTAGAGAGTTGGAGTAGAGATGAGAGTGGGGGTAGAGAGGAGAGAGTAGTGTAGATAGGAAATAGTAGAGTAGAGAGGAATGGGGAAGTGGAGAGAAAAGAGTAGGGTAGAAAGGAGAGAGGGATTAGAGAAGTAGGTAGAGAGGAAAGAGTAGGATAGAAGGGAGAGTAGGGGTAGAGAGAAAATAGTAGAGTAGAGAGGAAAGTAGGGGTAGAGAGAAAAGAGTAGGGTAGAAAGATTAGAAAGGGGTAGAGAAAAGAGTAGGGTAGAGAGAAAAGAGTAGGATAGAGAGAAAAGAGTAGGATAGAGAGAAAAGAGTAGGATAGAGAGGAGAGTAGGGTAGAGAGGAAATAGTAGGATAGAGAGGAGAGTAGGGTAGAGAGGAAAGAGTAGGATAGAGGGGAGAGTAGGTTAGAGGGGAAATAGTAGGATAGAGAGGAGAGTAGGGTAGAGAGGAAAACGTAGGATGGAGGGGAGAGTAGGGTAGAGAGGAAAGAGTAGGATAGAGAGAAAAGAGTAGGATAGAGAGAAAAGAGTAGAATAGAGAGGAGAGTAGGGTAGAGAGGAAAGAGTAGGATAGAGAGGAGAATAGGGTAGAGAGGAAAGAGTAGGATAGAGGGGAGAGTAGGTTAGAGAGGAAAGAGTAGGATAGAGAGGAGAGTAGGGTAGAGAGGAAAGAAGAGTAGGATAGAGGGGAGAGTGGGGGTAGAGAGGAAAACGTAGGATAGAGGGGAGAATTTGGGTACAGAGGAAAGAGTAGGGTAGAGGGGAGAGTGAGGGTAAAGAGGAAAGAGAAGGGTAGAGGGGAGAGTGGGAGTAGAGAGGAAAAAGTAGTGTAGAGAGTAAAAACTAGGGTAGAGAGGAGAGTGGGTAGAACAAAGCGGTAGATGTAGGGTTATAGTAGAGTTGGAGAACGAGGGCAGTATGAGAAAGAGTTGAGTGTGGTGAAAAGTAGAGTGTGGAGAGAGTAAAGGAGAAACTAGAGAATGGGGTGAGAGGAGAGTTGGGGATAGAGATAGAGATGAGAATGTGGAAAGAAGAAAATAAACGATTGGGTGTTGGGGAAAACTGAGTGGAGAATGGGTAGAGCACAGAAAGGGTTATTGAACCCTATTCTCTCTCTCCCCTTATCCTCCTCCTTCCCATTGCCTCTCTTAGCAGTGTTTCTCATACTTTCTTCCAATCATCCCTCAGTCTCTCTCACAAGCTTTCTCACTTTCTCTTTCTTTTTTTTTTATTGGTTTGTTTTCTCCACTTGACTTAATCAACTCTCATATCTGTGGATTAACTATATATATGCAATGCACATAAATATTTGATAATTATTTACAATGAAAAATGGTTGAAAAATATTTATTCTATAAAAGAAAGAAAATTCTTATCACCATTTTTTAAAAAAATTATAAAATGTTTATTGTTGATCTTTTTATTTTAAAATGGATTCAGCTGAATTGATTATCTGAGCAAAATATGAGTATAATTTAGAATTTTAAGGGCAATAACTTCACACAACAGAAAAAACGCTTCCCAATTCAAGACATTAAGATCAATGCGTTCTTTGTTTGCGTACCGGTATTAAATGAAAAGTTTTATATGCTTGAAGAACAATTATTAATTTATTTCCTACCATATAATGAACATAATTCCTAACACAAAATCCCAGTTGGATACAATTTATTTTACTGTTATGATAAATGTATGTGCTGGAGATCCCCAAATTATCCACATGCAGAGGGGAAACCTATAAAAATATTCTCAATTTGACCAAGTATGTAATAAGGGTTTGACATTCACTCTTCCTTGCATCATGACTCATTTGTTGCTCTTCGCATTACCCGGTATGTCATATCTCAACATTAAATATAAACGTTTCTTTGGTGCTTTATTCAAACTCGTGCTTTTGTATAAATCTAAATGGAACCTTCGCTTGCTATATGGTTCTACTCTATTAACGTTTCTTTTAATGAATAATGTTAAATGATTGACCGTTGGGCCACCAGTGTAATTTGAGTAAATGTTCACCTTACAATCACACAGACCTTAGCCCAGGGGCGTAGCCAGGGTACTTTTGATGTGGACGTCTGAAAAGGCGGGGTTGGGGGGGAGGGCGCCTTAAGGGCCCAATGGGTCCTCGACAAAGCCCTGGTGGGGGCCGAGGGGGTTGACACTATCAAAGGACAAAAAAAAAACCTAAACAAACACTGGTAAATATTTTGAAGCCCCCGGAAGCTGGTGAATTTTCGACGATTCCGATGTGTATATTTGAGCTTTCTGATAGCATTTTTCCTACACTTTTTCAGTTTGTTACGCAACCACATTTGAGGTCTGTTCTTTTCTTGTACAAAATGCGGACAAACACTCAAAAATGGGAAATGTCCAGTAGGATTGTTTTACGAACCCACTAAAACAATTTTAGACCTTTGAAGCTCGACAAAATACGTATGATTACATACAGTAGTTTGTTAGAGTGGTTGACTGGTTTAGACAGGCTTACATCAATGTTAAAGATTGAAAATAACAAAGACAGAATAATTCTTTTCAATTCATTTTCTTGCAGATTACATATGTATATTGTATACATTTTAAAATGAATGTTCAAAAATATTTACAATTCGGGCATCTAACTTTTTGCAACAATAATAAAAACATGTAAAAATACTATTGGTTTTAAGGTAGTTTTACTTATATTTTTAATGGTTAAACTGAATTTTACCAATTTTTTTTTCAATTTTTGATGTTCATAAATAAAGCTGAATTATGATTTTTGAAGTCTCGCATGAATCCGATATTAGGAGATAATTATTGTTTTTTTTGGGGGGGGGGGGGTATCGTTAAAGTAGTTAAGCATTACGATTGGAAGTTCATTTCCAGTAATAGAAATTGAAATTATTGGCATTAAATAAAATCATTGTTTGTTTTAAGGGAGCTCGAGCCGACTGGGGTTTTATTGTGTGAAATACTCAGCAATATTCGATAGTATTATATCGTTAATTCTTATTATTTTTTTTTATTTTAAAATATTATTTTCTAATATTTTGCAAAAATGATCAGTATGCTTTACAATATTCTCTTTATCTCCCTTTTTTTTTTTTTTTTTTTTTTTTGAAAATGATGTGGACGTTTGTGCGTACAAACGTACGCCTGGCTACGCGCCTGATTAGCCATGCTTCTGGGAAAGATAAAACTGCATGTGTATTCCATTAAACAATAGAGTAACTCAATCAAAAAAGAGAGCCAAATTTTGGACTTTAAAAACTATTATAAGGTTATCATTGTTGCGCTCAGTGTGAGAAAAAAATAGAAATCTCAAAACATTTAAACCAGTATTCAATTGTAAGTCTGAAGGAAGAATATAAGTTCTGAAAATGACCAGAGGTGATGGAAAGGGGATCGATTATTTTAGAAAATAAATTATAAAAGTCTTTCTAAATGTCACATGTAAGTGGAAAAGGAAAAAGAGAGGAGAGACACTCCAATGTGTAGACTTGTGTCAAGTCTTGGTATACAAAACACCTCTTTTTCTATTAGTCAATAGATAATTATATTTATGTCGAAAGAGCGGTACTTTATTTATGCCTTGTTGACACTATCAAAGGACAAAAAAAAAACCTAAACAAACACTGGTAAATATTTTGATCCAATCACTTCTTGCATTGTGCTTCCTGACATCGAAGGACAGAGGCATATTTTGTGTAATTTTTTCCACAAATTTAATTTTCCTTACATTTAATCCAAATCTGTTTATTACTCCCAGACCATACAATGGTATATGAGATACAAGGACATATTTACATATATACAAACTACAAAGTTTGTTTACTCTCAGACCCTACAATGGTATATGAGGAAGAGAAATGTCAAATAATAGCCACAGTAACCATAGAGTTGAGCAACAGAAACGTAAATACAAAGTTTATACTGAGAACAAAGCCACTGGCACAACAAAACACTTTCAGTTGTATTAACTTGTGATCATATGAATATCACTTTCACATCATTTAAAAAATAATTCCAACAATTGTCATTCTTGTTGATAATAGGGGGGACATGATCTGTTCACACATATGTATCCTTTTTGATATTTGAGGACATGATCTGTCATACCAATTAATTATTTTAGCTTTACCATCGCCGTATTTCACTAAGGATTACATGTATATGTTAGAAAAAAAAAACTTTGTCGTTAGTGATCTATGATTCTTACATCAATTTTATTTTGTACTCGAATTTCATTTTGCATTTTTATGCTACATGTACAGATAAATGTACACATTTGATGTATGTACACATGTATGTCAGATTTGTCTATGTTCCCCATGCACTATTATAAATGGTTTGAGTGATTGTCCTTGTATTTGAATGTAATTTTATTTTTATATAAACGAAGTTTCGGGGGTATATAGTTTTTGTCGCGTCCGTCCGTCTGTCTGTCTGTCTCTCTGTTTGTCCGCTAAAACTTGAACCTTGCCCATAACTTTTGATTTAGTGGAGCAATGACTTTAATACTTCACATGTGTATTCCTTGTGACAACACCTTTCTTTGGGTACCACTAAATTTGACCTTTTGACCTTGACCTTGGAGTTTGACCCACTTTTACATGAAAATTTTGAACTTTTACCTTGGTCATATCTGTTGAACAGTAGATACCAGGACATTTATACATCACATATGTATTCTTTGTTGAATGACCTTTCATTGTATACAAACAACCTTGACCCTTTGACCTTGGAGATTTCCGTACTTGTGAAAAAACTTTAACCTTGGCCATAACTTTTGAACGGTAAGGGATAAGGCTTTCATACTTCATATATGTAATCCTTGTGAGAAGACCCTTTATTGGATACCAATAACTTTGACCCTTTGACCTTGACCTTTCAGTCTGACCTACTTTAAAAAGCAAACCTTGACCATAACTTTTAAAGGGTTAGGGCTAGTGCTTTCATACTTTACATATTTAATTCTTGTGAAAAGACCTTTCATTTGATAACAAGAACTTTGACCTTGACCTTGGAGTTTGACCTACTTTTTATAAAAAAAATAACCTTGGCCATAACTTCTGAACGGTTAGAGCTAAGGCTTCCATACTCTATAGTATTCTATGTGACAAGACTTTTCATTGGAAACCAATTACCTGGACCTTTTTACCTTGACCTTGGAGATATTTATACTTACTGAAAAAACTTTAACATTGGTTTACTTTCAAATTTCACACTTGTTTTTCAGTGAAAATAGCCTATTTTTGGTACCAATTAATCAAATTTGCATTTAAGAAAAATTTAATCTTTGCTATGTTGCCATACGGGGGCATCAGTGTTTCACAAACACATCTTGTTTGTTTTGTTTTTTTTTTGGGGGGGGGGGTTTATATTGTGGCATATAAATATACTAAATGAAGCTTGTCTTTCATACATGTGTTTCCCCATATTGAAAGATAAAGACTTTCTTTTGTCGTAAAAACACTTTTTTATCTCGTAATTACATGTACTACTTTCTGAAGTCGTAATAACCATTTTTTATCTCGCTATCTCTTTTCATCTCCTAGTTACGACTTTTTATCGTTATTTCAATTTTGTAAATCCTTTAAAACCACTTTTATCTCGTAATAATTACATTTTATCTCGTAATAACAATTTTCATACCTCGTAATAACGACTTACTGTAAACAAACTTTTATTTGCAATGACTTTTTTTGATAAACCGTGGGAAATTAGTTCGCAACAATTAATTTTCGCGACATAGCCTTTTTGGATGTGTTGAAAGTAGACACATTGACTTTAAGGACCGGCTCTCCCGAAAATTTCTTGCACGCGAATAAAAGTTGGTTTACGTTTTCCTAATCTGACCTTTCGTGGCTTACTTACAAAATTAGCAAACAATGAAATAAAACATAATTAATTGTCCATTAAATCCTTCAACTATTGCTCGGCCTTGCTGCAACAAAAATTTGGGAACATGGGAGTATGTTTCAACTACCATCTGAGGGAACATTATGCTATACTCGAATATTAAGGGACCGGGACCCCTAGTCCTACCGCTTTCTACGAGCCTGAATTCACTGTCTGGAATAGCATCACTTACTTTGAAATTAATTGAGAATAATTGAACAAATAACGCATTCCTTATGTACGAATTTCGATTTTTCATTCTTCAGATAGGGGGTTTCAACCCCCACCCGCCACAAATCTATTTAAATTTAATAAATCGGAAAAGGGTTGTGGTCAGCTAAAATTAACCGCGTACCCCTTCAGATCCGCACATTATTCTTAACATAAGAATGTTTTAGTTAGTTTTACAATACAATGACATAGAGAAAAATGACCAAAATGAAAAAAAATTGACTAATATTTGATTTATTTAATTATCAGATTAAAGTAAACACCATTGAATTTCGACGAGACTTTTTCATGTTGTAAAGGCTTTGAAAAGATTCATTTGTAGCTTAAAGTTTTCATTTAAACAAATTATGGTAATATAGACATATTTATCCCCATTTTTAGTGCTTGCGGAACAACGTTATCATATAAACTTTGGTTTGAAAATAGTGAATAGACATAATGATAAGGACGTTGAGCTTTTCACATCAGTTAATAAAAACTAAGATTGTCATGAAAAGTAAACATAACGAAATGCAAGATGAACAACTAAATTGTAGTATGTGTAAATGTCATAAAGAGTTGAAAAAACTATTAACAAGTAGAAAGTCTTTGTTATATTGACACAGTGCAAATGTAATGTGGGTTCCTCTCATTTACGTAATGTAATGGAAGGTTGACACAACAATTTAAATTGCAAGAATTCCTTAAAAACTCATCTTTTATGAAATTTATATTGATATAATATACTTCAAACAAAATTATGCGTTTATAATATAAAGAGTCAAACACACCTATATACAGTATCATGTTAATTAAAATTGTATGGTAAAACATAATTAGATCTAATTCTTTCCGTAGAAAGTTATTTCTAGATCAATACTGACGACAGTTTTAACCAATGTTTTTAATACTGTGCGAGAGTTTCACTGGGATTTTCTCAAATTGGATCAAAACCAGACCGTGAAACTAAATTAAGAGTACAAGACCACTCAATATCACTGAAAATTATCAGTGATATATTTAGTGGTTTGGCTTTCACTGATATATATTTAGAAGATTGCCAAATTGGCTATCAGTGATATATTTCAAAAGTGGTTTGGCTCAATCGCATCATCTCGGGTCTTTCCGTCAGAGGTCGGAAAAAAAACAACCTCGAATGTATTAACATCACTGGATGTTAAAAATTTATACATTTCCTGTTTATTCAAATATAGGATAGAGTGAGTTAGAAGTCCCTTCTATAGTAAATTTTAGGTAATATCATTACATTGAATAAAGTTAAACTCCATATTCCACAGATAAAAGGTCTCCATGCATTAATTTCAAAGATCATGAAAAGGGAGGGTTGTAATGGCGTCTACCATATACATTCGAGGTCGTTTTTCCGCTAGTCGGAAAGGCCCGAGAAGTTGCGATTGTGGTTTGGCTATCAGTCATATGTTTAGTCGTTTGGTTTTCAGTGATATAAGGGAAATACTCATTACCTCGGGATATTTATAAGGGGAATATTCATTATTTCGGGATACTTATAAGGGGAATACTCATTATTTCGGGATACTTATAAGGGGAATACTCATTATTTCGGGATACTTATAAGGGGAATACTCATTATTTCGGGATACTTATAAGGGGAATACTCATTATTTCGGGATACTTGTAAGGGGAATACTCGTTACCTCGGGATACTTATAAGGGGAATATTCCCACTTTTTAAACTTATAAGGGGAATACCCATTATTTGCAAATAACAATTATAAGGGGAGATTTACCTGTATTTTGTACATTTTAAGGGGAAAATTATTTGAATACATCTATAAGAAAATATGATTTATTTCGGATATTTTTGAAAGGGGAATAAAGATTTTTACGGGAGAAAAAGGAATAATACATTATTTAAGATACTTAGTTAATTATTTGTTTACACAAAATTATTTCCGGGATACTTAAAAATACCTTTTTCTACATGATTTTCAAAAAGTGGGAATAGGTAGAATGAACCATTTTGGAAAACTGTTTATTACTGGATATTCAGACGGGGAATACTTTAATTTTATCTCTTGATACTAATTCCGGGAATACCCGTTATCTCTGGAGACTTCTTACTGAAAAATGAGCTACCTCTGGATACTTATAACTGAATCAACTGGTTATACATGTACACTGGAGCGGGGAATGAGGATACATATAAGTGTAATAAGGAAACCGAATTATCTCTGGATCATTATGATTGAAATAATCAGTTGTCTCTAGACACTTCCAACTATTTAACTCGGTTATCTCTAAATATGTATCACTGAAATACTTAAAGCCTGGATACTTTATACCAGATTATCCTGTTATGTCTGAATAACTTGAATATTCTGAATTGTTATCAGATATAACTTAAGTACTATTTCTTGATTGTATAAATGGAATCATCGGTTATACTTGGATATATGTACTTATACATGTAACTGGAATAGTCAGTTATTCCTGCATGGATAGTCATGAATTATGAGTTATTTCTGTTTTTTAAGCAGAATTCCAATTTTTAAGACAATGTAGAGAAAAAGTTTAGGGTGGTCTTACCTCCATACGAGTGTCCGGTCTCAGTGACCAGTAGATTTCCCAGATCGACTTGGGGGTCAAGTTTGAAGTAATCACTGGTCGTGTTCGAACTGTCCGCCTTAAGATTGTAGTAGATCGCTACACTCATAATGTGACAGAAATCCTCAAACACAACATCCTGTCCGTTTCGTTCATAAATAATTTTGAATTTTCTCCAAGAATAGTAGTCAAACATGTGCTTAAAATATTCAGCAACATTGTTAAAATTCACAGGGCCTGCACGTATCAAATAGGGATAATCCTTTTTTCTAAAGTCATGGAATTCGGACGCCATTGCTCCTACAGATATGACAGGGATATTCCAAAATTTTGACTGAAAATAGGATCCTCAAATTATTGACATCATTTAAATTTAAAACATCAATCATTTAACGACATTTTTGGTATCTTTCTAGGTTTTAAGGATCTTTATATTAACCGAATTAACCGGAAGTGTATTTTGATAAATGTTTCAATACCCTGTAACAATTTTATTCAGTTTTACATTTTTATCACATTTATTTAGTGCCTCAATTTTTCTACGTAACTTCGTTACGGATCTAAAATTACATGTATGTCATTTTATGGCTTGTACAATATACAGTTTTAATTTTCGTTAGTGTATTGAAGTGATAGAATGATAAAACCATTGTCACGGTGTTGTGAGCGGTAATTAGAAAAAAATAACTGATTTTCCACTGGATTTCTATTTTGGTTTTCTTTATGTTATATGCCTCTTCTCTAACACAGGGCTACTGGGCAGATCCTATTTACTCCCTCGGCACGCAATCTCTGCCAGTCCGCCATTGATTTTTTAATTGTGCCATGTTCACTCCCCAAAATGTGTCCTATCATTTTTCATCGATTCCAAATGAAACTTGACGTGGCTGTCGAATAAGAATAGGGATTTGTCACTTAGACTCAATATATTTATTTTATAAATGAGCTAAAACACATTTAACAATGTTTAGTAAAATTCGAGTGAATGCGTTTGGGAAATGAGTTAATTCAAGCAAAAACCCCACATCGACGCTAGCATAAAGAACTCGGAAGAAATTAAATTGAGATTGCTGCTTTGATTGCAGGAAATTTAAAAATAATTCACATCGCACTGATTCAGGGATATGAAGCTTAAGACGAAAAAATCCACTTCATTGTCTTCAGTATTGAAACAGTTTTAGTTTTGTTTTATTACGCAGAATTCATAACTCCATTCTTTAATATGCAGTTAAATGTGATATTTCTTTCACAAAGTAATTGGTATAATTGTGAATATTGCATTAACATCAAATGTATGCATATCCCAGGCTCCACTATACTAATATTACGAACATAATCAACCTGGTATTACACTGTAGTCATCAAATCATCATTATATTAAAGGTCATCAAACTACTACAGATATGATTTAATAAATATTGAAGATATAAAGTTGAAAAAGCTTTAAAAAATCAGATTGTGTCAGATCTAAAGTTGTGTCAAATTTCATTGTATATTTATGGTTGTGCTTAATTTCATTGTAGATTTAAGGTTGTGTCAAAGAATTTTGTAAAATAAAGGTTGTGTCAAGTTGCATTGTAGATTGTTTAAAATTTCAATGTAGATTTAGAGTCGTGTCAAATTCATTGTAGATTTAAGGTAGTGTAAATTTCACTACAGCTTTAACTTTGTGTCAAATTCACTGTAGATTTAAGGATCTGCCAGATTTTAGTGAAGATTTAAGGTTGTACCATATTTCAGCTATATCTTTGACTATTTTTAGACATTAACGAAGATGTAAAGTTTATAATATTGGAAAATTAAGGTTTTGTCAGATGTCAACGACAATCTTAAGTAAATTTAGATTTAAGACAAGAATTCATGTTGTGCCAGATTTTAGCAAAGACCCTTCTAGGTTAAGTTATATTTCAGTGAAGATTTAAGTTTGTTTAATATTGTGTCTGATTTCTGAGAGGCAGCTAAATCTTAGGCTATCTCTGATAGATTTTAGTAGTTGTGTCAGATTTCAATATGAAGATCATGTTATTGTCAGGTATGTCAATATTTCAGGAAAGATTTAAGGTTGTGTTAGATTTCAGAAAAGATTTAATGTGGTGTTCGATTTCAGCACTGATTTTAGGTTGTGTCAGATTTCAGCAAAGATTTAAGGATGTGTCAGATTTTAGCAAAGATTAAAGGGAGTGCAAGATTTTAATGAAAATGAATCGATTTCCTTTAAAATTATACGAGAGAAATGCTAAACTTTATCAATTCTTATTTTCTGGACAAAGTTTTGTCATTCTCTGAGTGTTGTCCTTTCCAGTAATTTATACTACAATAATAAGGAACAATCATTTTATTTGATGACCAAAAGCATTGTGGAATTTCGAAGGACTAAATGATTGAAAATGCTTCACTTAAGGGCTTTTTTTAACACTAACTTTTCCCTACATGAAACATATGGAGATAAAGAACAGTATTCAAGATCGAAATTCCATAAAACATTTTTAAAAAATAGGAGCAGAGCAAACACGGACCTCAAAAACATTAGAGGTGGGATCGGGTGCCATGGAGGAGTGAGCATCCCCCTCCCGACCGGTCACATCCGTAAATATAATTACCTGTGTCTTGCAATTTAAAAGCTATTTTTCATAAAAAATGGCAAAGAAATTTCGCCAGTAGCTTTGCACAATTTATATGAAGTTAAATTGCAAGATAAATTTCAAGCATGGTCACAATTGAATTTTTTAAAATTTGTTTAGCAATTATTTTTTTTTAAATCCATACTGGCATCATCCATGTTTATAATAAAAACAACAATGCTCTATTAGCTGAGAACGAAAGAGCTATTATATAATTTTTTTTTATTTCTTCACTTATCCAGAAAATTAAGGCCACATTTAGTTTTCTAGTCGTGACAGTCTATATAGTTACTCTTTTCTGTTGCAAAAGCTATCAAGGGTGACCTAGCTGGACCTTCCCAAAGCACATCTTCCGGATCACTCGTCCAGATATTAATGTAGGTCAAACACAAAATCTGAATCTCAAATTTCATCATCCATGTTAGTTTGATTAAAAACTTTATTGCTACTGGAAAACAAACCTGCAGGAAGAATATTGCATTTACAATCTCAATGTCAAGGTAACTAGCGGCATCCGAAACTTAATGGCAAACCTGCAGCCATAGCATTGCCATTAGATACGTGTAACAGCATATCAAAATCTTAAAACACGTTATTACTTATTTTGCATTTTTTCATCAGCTATAATTTCAAATCCACCACCTTTTCTGACTCTTGGAGCCCTGGGGCCTTATCAAATCTACAAACACTAAATCTGCCTGTCACAATTACTGTAAGCGTAACATTTTTTCTGGAATTTAGATTCAAGAGTTCAAATAACACGCCAAATTTCTAACAATACATTTTTACACCATTGGGTTGAAATATAAAATCGTCAGAGACATTTTTTTCAATATACATGTAACTGATTGATCTAAGGATTAATTTTTATTTTGCTTTTCCATCTGACCTATAAAAAAATTCGTTAAGTAAAAGTACGAAGAAGAGAAATATCAGAAAATTAAAATATGTACAAAAAGGACAAAAATTCTAATGAACCGAAAGGGATTTATTTTATGGCAAAAAAAGCTTATTTAGGCTGTGGTCGTTATTTTTCATTGGTTCATTACACAGCATTCGCCAACTTTAAAGTTATGATTAACAAATGGTGGAGGTCATAGCCGGAATAATTTGTAACATTATGGGATTTTCACACAAGGTCAGCAGAATAATTTGATACGTTTGGGATTTGGTATGAGACGATTATACTTTTACTATGGGACTAAACTCTAGCATAAGAGATCAGTAGAATGGTAAGTCGGTATTGATATAGTATGTCTTGGTTTTAAATAGTTGGGTTAAATTGATAGATCTGGGGCCAGCGGCTTCTCTGATTAACCTAGGGTGTCAATAACCACGCGACCTTTACCGACAACAAGACTAACCATTGATTCATGTGTGTCTTATAAGATTTCACGTGGAAATAATCATTGATAAATTCATTATCAATACCAGGAGATCGCCCGTCTTGTTAATATTATTGACAATACGTTCAAAGATTTAGTTCCACGAACCTTATTATATACATGGTCAAACATTGATGTGTTTATTCTAGACTATTTCTTCATTCTCGAAAAATAACCCCCTACACTGATTTTTTTTTTTTTTTTGGGGGGGGGGACTTTAAAATGGACAAAAAACAAACGTTCTACCAGTTCACTTTAATGCCACAAAAATTATATTTGTAGACTTTTAATGTCTGTATTAGACAAAATTGTAATCCAGCCCATAAACTTTTTTCAGATACTTTGTTTTAAAAGATACTATGGTTCCTTTTTTCATTTACATCATGTTTAGAGAACTTTTTTCCTTTTATCTATGCTGACAGGTACATTTTTCGAGTTTATGAAGTTTCTAGGGTTATAAAATTTCTTTATATTTAATATTTGAATGCAGCTCTTATTTATCTCTTAGTGAAGAATAAAAACATTTCTTAAAATACTTTTTTTTTTATTTAGTAGTCTCATCTACAGCCAAAAAGGGCCAGGTTGATTTTTGTACAGCCTTTTTGAATTTCTAGATTTCTTACTTTAAGGATAAATTAATGGTGAGACGTCTTTCTCGGGTTTTAAAACTTTTAAAACAACTAGGCCCACATGTACATTAGCTTTGCTGGTTACGCATGGTTTCTTTCAGAGAAGGCTTTTAGAGAATTTAGGTTGGTATGTATGTTGGGCTTCCGTGTTTGTACGAGTTTCGCGTGTATTCTATTTTATGCATTTTTGCTTCAATTTTTTATCCTCAGACTACTATAACAAATTAGTTTATTAAATATAAAATTTTACTTTATATTGTAAGTAAAACTTCATTTAAATATAAAATTCTCGAAAATAATACTGACTTAATTTATTAACTGTGAAACATAGTTACCTGTCTAGCAACCGGGGCCACGGCGTAATCACACACCGGGCCAAAAAAAGCGTGCACGGTCCCGCTATAGCGAAATTTGATGGCCTCGTTCATGGCGATCCCAATGTGACACTTTGTGTCTGCGTAGCTGACGTTAAACTTGACGTCAGGAACTAAGGCCTTCTGGACCCGCTCAATCCCTATCTCTATCGCCGGAAGTAGTTTATCGTCAGAGAAAAGGCGGTAGCTGTCGTTTGGGAGCAAGACCGCCATCTGTACCTCGGTCTCAGACGACACAGAAGAAAACACAAACGTCAGAATACACAATAGTAACATGGTGACTTTTAACGACTCAGACACTTAATTGACTGTTTTTCACACTCTGGAATTCTGGGATAAAATCAAGAATCCTGATTCAATAACGCATTCTGTCTCAACTGTGGAAGAATTTTATTTGAATGGATGTACTCCAAATTCCATCTTCAACACAGTGTTCACAACATTCAGAATCCACTGATTGTAATGAAATTCAAGGTAAGTGTTTTCGCCCCTAATGACTGTCCGACCAACTTAAGTTTTGCAGACTGTGGAAACATTGCCACTCTATAAATATTTCTACTGGGCCCCCTCCGGAATCGATACTCCAGGAACTGGCGCGGTTTGACCATTTTCCGTATAAAGTTCCACTAGCCTTGGTTGTTACAGCAGACCCCTTAAACTCTTTATGGACAGGTGGAATAATATTGGTGCTTATTCAGGTAATGCAGTATGTCTGACAGCTGAAGGCACGCCGTCATCCTTTGCTTGTTTTCTCATACAGATTGTTTGAAATTTAAGTACCATATGCTCGTAGCATTTGCTAATTTAATTCACACAATTAGCGAAAAGTATACGTGTACAATCGGTTTATTATTTTTATTCATATCATAATTTAAATCTTGTGTTATCTTTAATGCGATATCAAAACGGCTGCTGCTTATTTTTTGTGAAAAAGAAGGAAGAAAAAGACACTTCAATCGTATTCCAGCACTGAGTATCTTCACTGATAAATAAGAGGCATTTCAAACCACATTCCGCTGGTCGCCGTACATGTAACTACTTATCCTATTATGTTTAACAACTGTTACACTTCTGCGCTTTGTTGAATTAAACGAAGTCACATAAGGGGGTTTTGTCGACATTGAGCTCGTTAATACTGCAGTGATAGCGACGGATGAACCAGCAGTCGGGAGAATGTACATGTTTTTATTTATTAAATTTTTCTCATTTTCATGTTTTCCAAAATAAAATTTGAGACAAGGCCTCTGAGGCTCTGACCAATGATGTAGGTTCGATTGAGAATAAAGATTTCTTTTAATTAAAAGGGAAAAAAGTAAAATTAATTTTTAATGGCAGATTGTGGATATCATTAGCCCCGTGATTTTATTTTTATTTATTTGATGAATAAACCTTTTTAAAGCTTGAGCTTAAGAGCATGTCAGCATATTGTATTACACATACTTAAATGTGCCTGTAATGATATCTGATTTATTGGTATTTAAACGTGTCTGTCATGATCGATATTTTGTACATAAATCAAATGTGCCGCTTATATAATCTGGTTAATAAATACTTATATGTGGATGCAATGTTGTCCGGTTTAAAGGTATGAAATTTGCCTGCAATGATGACTTATTTGTATTTAAGTGTGCATGTTATGATATATAGGTTACTTATATTAAATTGTACCTGTGACGAGTCGACAGGATGCTCACTTCTCCATGGCACCTGATCCCACCTCTGATGTTTTGGAGGTTCGAGTTTGCTCTGCTCCTGATCTGTATTGTTAGAATGGATATTTGATCCTGAACACTGTTCATTATCTCCATATTTTTTGTCAATGTATTAATATCTGGTTCATTGGAATCAAATGCACCTCCGATAACATCTGGTTTACATGTATTTGAAATATTCTGGTTTATTGATATCTCAGTATATATGTTATGATATCTTATGTATGTTATGATATTTTGTTTACTGGTATTTAAATAGGCCTCGCCAGAAATAAAGACATCGTGTTAAAAAAAATTAAATTGATAGTTTTTTAATATAATTAAGAAGATAATTGAGTTATGTTTATTCATTATTTATATAACAAATCTGAAGCTTAATATATCTCGTAATCACATATTTAGAAATTTTACTGACCATAGAATTGAATGTAAATCTTACTTGCGTTTTTCATTTCAGGATTAAAAAAAAATCAGGGTATTAAAATCGATATATTTATATATATATAAACACTCGGAAAAAAATACTATGAAAGGGCAAGGGGAGGAAGAAGCGTTTTTCGAAGATGGGTTTATTGATAAGTATATATTTTAATTTTATTAATTTTGTTTACTGGTATTTAAACAGGCATGTAATTGACACCTTTATGAAATTTATATGTATGTAATGAACAATTTTTCTTAAAATGTAGGTGCACATTTGTGTAAAGCGTATAGACCGATGATAATCATATTGGATTTCTATCATATAATAATTCAATAACTGGTATATCAGTCACAATTCATTGAAAAATTATATATAAATACCATTTTTATCCGCCATATCATTAATGATTATGCATTAGAAATGCTCATTTTCTTTGAAGACGAGTATATATCTGATTTATGCATTATATTCAATATAAATTTTCCAAGTTATTATACAGAGATAAGTTAAAGCATTGCGTACACATTAAAATCCAATATACTTCTAGATCTCCAGATATAACAGCTGAGCACCTGTTAGAGATACGGAAACTTAAAAGGGAAAATAATTCATCGCTATAGAAATATGAGTATGATATTTATACAAAATAAATTATTTAATCTTTCCTATCCAGAGAAAAATGTAGCATTTTTAATATAGCCAACAGAAGGTATTAATCAATTTTAATTAATTGACTCTCTCCCCGTGACCGTGTCTGAGAAGATCACAAACAAGACCAAGGTTTGACTCCGTTAATTCCCCGGGAATTCAGTAAATTGTATATAATCTGAGGTAATGGACGTTGTTTTTTAAGTATTGGGTAAAATTATATACAGCTCTAAATCAATTAATGTAAACCTTAAATGCGGCAAATAGAAGCTTAAGTGCTAGTGTAATCGACTGAAAAGGCTCGTACGGTGAAAGGCTCTCCTCAATGTTATGTCAATATTAAGATATCTGCCATCAGGCCTTAATGTTTTCATACATTGCGATACATGAGAGCACGAGAATTGACTCGGATAATTAAATGACTGAAAAACTATAAATCGATCCGACGATATTTTAAGATGAATTGGTTTGTAATACAAAAGTATAACTCTCGCTTCTAAAAGGTCATCAGAGCCCAGAAGTTATACGTTTTGAAACAAAGAGGACCGCGGAGTGTTCCATCATTCCCTTTATCTAGCAAGCAGGGACAGCAGATGTTTACATTGAACAGTTCTACCTTTTGGATATAACATTAATATAATATATAATTGCTGTACGAATTTGATTCATATTGTTGTCAAACCCATACAATGAACATTAATAAATATGCCACAGTATTTCATGAAGGACAAGAAGGCACATAGGCCATGATGCTTACCTGTCAGTCAAAACCATAGGAGTTCTCTTAATAAGAAAATGTGCAGAAATGAATCCCAAGTCGAGCCATGACCTTTACTATTAAATGTGTAGTAACGGGTGGCGACACTATATTCATATATATGATCATAGTTTAATATCGGAATGAATAGCCGTATAAGGAAAAATCGTCAAGTAAGAAAATGCATAAATATCTGCCCAAAAAGTATAGAATCGTCTGTTTAAATAATGACACCTGGGATTAAGAGCATCAGAGGGGCAATATCTTTCGTTCATAAAGAGAAGCCAAACATTTGTTGGGCAAATCTTTTTAAGAACGGCATTGTGCCACGACAGTCAGAAGAATCTTTATAAGATAGATTCGAGTTTCTGATTCTCGGGTTTAGATGAGAACTCAATATCCGGACAAATGAACAAATAGAAACAATATTAGTATTACTAAGTACTGTAAATATTATTGTAAAGTCACTAATAATCAGTAGTCAAATTTTTATGGAACAATTCCTAATAATCTTTGTTGACTAGAGTTAGTCAGTCCGTACTTTCAGAATTTTCTGTCAAACTAATAATTTTTTAATGTGAATACCTTGAATAAGTCTTAAACTAACTAAAACACCCATAAAAGACATATCTTTGCAGATTAATTTTCATACAACATGTCTCAGAGCACATACCTCTAAAAAAAACAACAGCCAAAATTAAACATAAAGAAGTGTGATATCATATTTCGTTTCGTTAAGTATCAAATCACATCAAATTTATGTTAAAACTTATGGAGATCAAAAATATTCATTTGCCAAGAGAATATTTGAAATTTACTGCAAAACATTAACAAACTGATGTTGAATCTGTCCATGTCTTTCAGAAAAAAATCTCAAAATATCTTCATTTTTTATAATTCTAAAAATACAACCTGTTTAGATGCCATTTTTTCTTTGAAACTTTTAAGAATTATATCTAATGTTAACAAAAATACATACTTTATTATGGTTGGCCAGAGAATTTTAACAAAACAGTCTTTTGAAGACGTATACCCCCAATTTTTGGAATATAAATTTTTTCAATTATTCATTGCAAAATTTTTAAAAAGAAATAATTAAATGGATTATATAGGCTTTAAATCAATAAAAATAGATCTCAGGTTAGTTTGCTTAAAAGAAAATTAAAAAGATTTAGGTCCATAAAAGCAATTAAGAATCTTGTGTCTGTGTATGTACTAAATGACATACAGATCTTATGGACAAAGTGCAAAGTGTTAATTCCATAAATAATGTATATTAAATGCTTTGTATGCACAATAACACTATAATAAATAAATATATACTTGCTTAATCATTTTCAATCACCCAAAAAGATTTAATATCAATAGACAAGTGAAAATCAGAATTTTGTATTGATGTGTAAAATTAGAACCGGATCCGTAAAAGTGTGGGCCTTCCTTAAGAGTCAGACCTCTTAGGGCCCTCACTCTACAACATCGGCACCTTCTGCGATACGGGGCCTTTGTTGTTATACGGTCTCATCCGAAGGACCGGTCTCAAAGTCCGATAGTAGATTCCAAGTAACCCTTAACGAAAGGGATCAACATCTTCATCAAAATTTAAAGCTCTTAAGTAAACTCATTTTAATGCTGGCGCACATAGTAGGTTCAGTTTGGTTTTTGTCATAAATCTTTCGGGCTTTGGTGAGGTAACAATATATAGTCAAATTATTTCAGGTAAATAAAGGAGAGGGGGATGTCAGTTGAGCGTTGTGGCCAAGGGGTCTTTTGAGTCATGTCTGACCAGTGCCATGACTGATTTGAGTTCTTCCTTCCAAATAAAAGTAGCCCTGAATTGATTCCTCTTTATAAATTAAGATTATAACCAAGATAGTGCTAGGTATTTCTCTAAACGAAAATTCCTATTCAAATGAAATGATGAAGACTTTCATTATCCCGAAACGTAACAACTCCGAGAAGCCACCATTGATTCTTGACACGAACCAAATCTTCATCAATCACTGATTTTTGACACGTTATATAACCCTCGCTAGTGTCTAAGCCTATCATTGGCAGAAGCAAACGATAGAGCCCGATGAAATCCATTCACTGCATCAACAACAAGCTAATTCCTCTATGAGGGAACTAGTGCAGTCTACAATTGCCTTCCAAAACACTACAGGTTACTAGGTATAATGGGATAGGTGTAATACCGGTTTACTCCAAGGAACCGTTCTCATTCTCATCAACAGTTGAAATATTTTTCAATATTTTTTGATGTTACATTAATAAAATTAATAGATAAAATTTATATAAGTACACATGCATTTAACTAGTTATTTTTTATCAACAAACGACGACGTAAAATACTTTTTATATAACCAGAAAAAGACTCGAATGCTCAAACTATGGCATGTTCATGTATAATAAAACGTTGTCAGCCAAATCATAATGTGATTGAGACCGCTGTCAGCTAATTCCGGATCTCCTGAGTAAGCCTGTCATGGTTTTTCTATTAATCTTTTTAAAATACTTCCGCTGAATTTGAATAGCACTCGATGCAAATCCGGATAAAAATTATATTTAAAAGACTTCACAGTGTTTCCATGTTCAGTTACGTCTATTTGATGTTAATTAGAGTTGACGAGGAATCTTAGTAACAAAGGAAATAGTTTTATATGGAAACTGATAAGTTCAAAGTATGGCGATATTTGTCAGCGCGTGGCGGTTTATGGTATAGCACTAATGTAAGAATCTCCTACAGAGAAGTAAAATCAGTAGATAACTAAATGCCGGAGGAGGTCTCGGAGGACCTATTCCGGGATCACCCTGATTCTATCTCCA